AGCAGGCGGTGGTGGGCGGTGGCCATTTTCCATGGGCGCTCGTTTGTGTGGTCGGCTTCGCGTGTTGTCGTCATCGTGCTTGCGTGTCGTCGTGCTCGTGTTTCGTCGTGCTTGCGTGTCGTCGTCGTGCTCACGTGTCGTCGTTGTTGCCGTCCTCATGTGCCGTGCATGGGTGGTTGCTGGCGTCGTGCCTGTCGTGGTGAGAATGGAGGAACGGGGTGGTGGGGCATACGTACCCCTTGCCCATGACGTTGCCACGTCATGGGCGTTGTCCCTCGGTCCTTGGTCCATTGTTCCGCGCTGGGGGTGTCGTTGTCGTTAGCGTGGGTGTCGTGTGCGTCGTTAGCATGGGCGTGGGCGTGGGCGTCGTGTGTGTCGTTAGCGTGGGCGTGGGCATCGTCGGCGGCGTTGAGATGTGAATGGTGGTGGTGGTGGAAGGGAAAGGGATGGTCACGGCAGTGTGACCATCACACAAACAGGCGACGTGACGATATGGCACGCCCTCAAGTAAGTCATGTGACCTCACCCCGCAGACTGAACAAAATCATGAATCCTTATTGCAGCTATCACTGACCCACACTATATGTAAATTATAATCTTTCCATTCATTGATTAATAAAATTGTAGGTATAGCTTGTCTATTGTATAGTCCATTTTTGCTTTTTTAGTTATATTCATATATAATAATAATAATATACTGGACTCCACTGGACTCTGACTGGACTCATAGTCCACTGGACTGGGACTGGACTCAGGAAAGTGGCTGGCAGTCCAGTGGGAGTCCAGTGGACTGGACTGGACTGGACTCCAGTGGACTGGGCATTCTGCCAGCCAATCTGGCCTGGTAAGAGGGCCACTGGAGTCCACTGGAGTCCACTGGAGTCCATATGGATTACGTGGGGGAGGGTAAAGACCTCATGATATCGGCCAGATAAATAATGAAAATCGCAATGATATTGACCAAGTAGCTAATGAAATTTCCAATGATATCGCCCAGGTTTCTAATGAAAATTGCAATGATATCAGCCAGATAAATAATGAAAATTGCAATGATATTGGCAAGATAAATAATGAAAATCACAATGATATTGACCAAGTAGCTAATGAAATTTCCAATGATATCACCCAGGTTTCTAATGAACATTGCAATGATATCACCCAGGTATCTAATGAAAATTGCAATGATATCAGCCAGATAACTAATGAAAATTGCAAATGATGTTGACCAAGTAGCTAATGAAATTTCCAATGATATCGCCCAGATTTCTAATGAAAATCACAATGATATTGGCCAGATAACTAATGAAAATCGCATAATGAATAGACATGGTAACTGGAATGATTCCTATCATAAAGACTGTGGACTTATACAAAGGGAGCCCTAGGCAGTTACCTTATTTATATGATAAAAGTGGTACCCACCAGTCACGATGGGAACTACCTAAACGGCCGTCTACTCCCGCAGCGTTGCGCCAACTCGGCTGAAGAACCTTCCACCATGTCCACCAGCTCCTTTCGAAAGATGCGACATCCTGGAAACGGGGTGCCTTGCTACGGCCACGGCTGACCCACCAATCCACCTGTGAGGGCCGACTTGTTTTCTTAAATCCCATATGGATGCCTCCGACGTCGAAGCTGCTGCAACCCTCCAACTCCACATACAGCTTGATGGTTTTTGTGAATGCCAGGCCAAGATCTTGTGCCGATAGAAGCTTGTAGCCTCTCAGAAACCACTCCGGCCACTTTGGATCTGGAAGCAACGGTGTGGGAGTTGAGGTGACAATTGGCTGCGATGCTAGGGCAAGAGATGGTTCGGTAGAAATGGGGGCGGGGGGAACGGGTGGTTGGGTGAGGGAGGGAGATGGCTGATGCGGAACGAGAGGAGCAGAGGGCTGAGTAGGGGCAGAGGGAACGAGTGGTTGGGATGCAAGGGAGGGAGATGGCTGACGTGGAATGAGAGAATCAGAAGGACCGATGACCACGGGATCAATTGGAAGGTCTTCTGTGTCTGGGCGTGCGGGATCCATCGTCGTCTTCCTGGTGCTACGTCTCGCACCCAGAGCCTGAATGGGATGTTCATCTGCACTGTCCTCGTCTTCACCATCGCTGGATGATTCAGACGAGCTTGCCTCTTCAAAGTCCTCCATGCTCTCTGAGTCCAATTCTTGTTCCTCAGACTCATCGCGTCGCTTCTTCTTCCCCTTGGATACCGCTCCCTTCTTGGCTGCCGCTCCCTTCTTGGCTGCCGCCCCCTTCTTGGTTGTTACCCTCTTCTTGGCCACTGGCCCCTTGTGATGTTCCTTTCCTCGCTTCCGTTTTGCTGTTGCTTTTGTGGCATCAAAGGGATCTGTTGCCGAGTGAGTTGATGTGTCGAGAGTGGGATCGTTCTCCTCAGGACTGATATGCAGGGAGTTCAGGGTGGTCATATCGACATCGTTGTTGGTTGGTTGGTTATCTGAATTGGGGGCATCAGGGAGAGCGCACCGTCTTCGTTCTTCAGGTGCTGCTGACGTAGGTAAATATTATATATGACAACCATCTTAAGAACAACCTACAGTAGCATGTGCTCAGAAACTCGATATATGCATCCTTTACCAATGCAAACTTGGCTTTATCGGTGTAAGGCCAAACCTGCGGTGAGGGCGCCTTGTTGACGCTGTGATGAACACTGTGGAGAGGTAAGTATTACTCACAAAGAAGCAACATCAAATGTTTACCTTATCACATTGATGTTCCCCCCCAACCTTGGCTCTGGGCCGCCCACAAACACCGAAACGTGCATGTTGAGTGCTTGTCCAATCCTTTCCAGCAACGGTCCCAAAAGATTTGCAAGACCATCGAACGCTCTGATGAAACACGTCAGCAATCGTAAGAGTGGAGATTTGTTTTGACATACTCTTGTGCCTCAGCAGGGCTCATCTCTTTATTGCCTTCCCAGGCCTTCTTCGCCGTGTTGTGGGCCTCAATGGCATCCTCGGCCCACTGCTTCTGTTCTTCTTCACTCAGTTTGTGAAATTCCTTCTTCTTGAACGAGTTCCGAAAAGTTGCGCAGTGTTTTTCAGGTTTGCCGCTCTCTCTAAACGCCTCTTCGAAGGGTTCCCTGAGGGACTTGTAGTTGGCCGTGCCCCACATTTCCCAGCCAGTGCAGAGCTTGGCTTGGCCTGCATAACCCAGGAGGCGGTTGACTAAAATAGACAAGAGGTCTTCGGTACTCTTCGACCGCTTCAAGGTCTTCATCTTTTTAGAGCGATGGTCGAACCAATTGTACAATGACTTTGAAACAGATTAGCAATGAGAAACGAGCATCTCAAGGTATGCAAGGGCGACTAACCTTTCTCATATGCTCGATCACCTTCCCTTTCAAGGTTGCTTGCTTCTCGGTCAATATCTCGAAACTGTTGGCGCCGGTAGGGAAAGGCAGTGATGTCGGCAACTCTTCCTGGGTGACTGGGATTGACTAGTGATACGTCGAAAACCATAGATTAATGATGCCATCGAGGAAGGAGGTGGCCTTTTCGTGAGAGACGAGTAGCACAGTCTTGTATTCTTCAAGATGGGATTTCAAGAATTTTTGGCGGGAATGTTTCACGCACCCTTTTTTCAGCAGGGTGAGAAGTGCGGCCCTGGATCAACATGTCAAACTTTGAAATAAAACAAGAACAAGCTCAGTCTCTTACTCATTTTCAACGACATCAACATCGACTTCATCCTGGACAACATTGGCCACACCCTGTGCGACGTCGGCCATGTTAGCAGTCGATTTTTGAGAGAGGGACATTCCCTGTCCCATGCCACCTACCTTCATTCTTTATTCGCCAGAAGAAACAACCAAAAAAAAATTTCATCCTTTTTCGGGCACCAATCAAACATGTTTGCACTCATCAATGTGAGGGAGGAGGCCTTCGTTGGCATCATGTACATACATTTGGCCACGTATCCGCCAGATCACACTCAATTGACTTTCTCTTTTGTCCTTTTTTGTGAGCTAAGAAGCACTGTTGCACTGCCAGATAAAACCCCACTTTTGAACTGCGTCTATTTGTTAGAGTTCACGGCTCTACGTTGGTGTATTCCTATGAATACAAAATCAGTAGTTAGTCGTATTCTGAAAACGTTACCTGAGTTTGAGAGCCGAATGTGTCGCACGAAGAATAGAAGATGTAGAGGGCGAATATTCCTAAAAGCGTAGAGAGTCTTGATTATCCGATGACGGCGTCACTTGATGATCGAGACGTTAGCGCGTAGCTTTAATGGTTGATCAGAGTCGGTTGATAGTGCTCAGCTTTATCAACTTACTCAAGAGATGCTGCTTAGTCCTAAGAACTTAAGTCAAGTCAAATTGGGATAAAAGGTAAGAATGAATCTTACTTCTTACATTTCATCTAATTTAAATACAAGTGGAATGTAGTGTAGAAGTATCCAGATCCTTCCTATTCCTGCTACGACATTCCTTCAAATTCCTTACCAAACATTATCTAACACGAGGGTGTTTGGTTAGACCTGTAATCCTAACAGGACTTGTAATCCTAACAAATAGAAAGTGCATGATGCGTGAATACAATTCATGTTTGAACGCGTTAGATGCGTTAAGTAGAATGACAACGGAATACAACTACTTTAAGAAATAGTGAAATGGAATACAACTAGAAAAGAGCTAGTCAGAGAATACAACAATGAGATATTGGTGAGGTTGTCAGGTAGCGAGAATGAAAGGATAAGAAGACTAGTGATAACTTGAGTACCCTAACACTATTCCTCTCAACCACCCCCACCATCTGTCCAAACCACTTCCTCTCGTCTCAATAATATGCCCACATGCTTGACTGGAGTCTGTTCACCCCGGGCCCCATCGACATTGGCCGATGACCGTAAGACTAGTCCCATCTCACTGTCCCACCCCATCTAACACAAACCTTTGAACAGCCCAGGGTGCACCTTCCATGACAGGTGCTTTTTTCCTTTTTCACCTGTTAATTACTCACTCTGATACTTACATTTTCAACAGTTCTTGAAGATTTATTCAACAACCTCGGCATTTGCGATCGTGAAAGCCACGTTCTCATCACCAGCGTCATTCGACTTGTCACTCCCGCACACCGTGACAGCCCCAACAACAGTCAAGCAACCGCTGTCGAAGACGGCTTCGAAGTCCTCTCCTCCCCCGGTCCTCATGCGGAGGTTGACGACGGTGATGATAACGACGGCGACGCATCTGAGATGGTGACCCCACAGGTCACCAACTCTCCTGCAGCCGCGGTTATCCCTCCTTCCGCTGTAACCGCTTCCGTTGCAGTAACCGCTCCCATTGCAGCAGCCCCCAATGCCATCAGCCCAGCCACTAATGCTATCGGCCTTCCCGTGCTCTACGCCCCAGGTTATGCTTTACATCCCAGCAGGCCTGACAATGCTATTCTTCCGCCAGGCAATCTCATCACAGCCATATACGGGTACCATATCCCTCCCCCCAATGCTGGCAGCCCCTTCTTTTGTGTGAGTCGTGGTCGGGACATTGGTATTTTTTGTGGCTGGTGAGCTCTCTCCCCTTCGGAAATTAGTTTTCAAGATCTTAATATTTTTTTACCAGGGAAGTCACTTCACCTCTCGTGATCGGTGTGTCCTGTAGTAGTTTTTCTCGCGTGGCTAGCGTCATGGAAGGGCATCGTCGCATGGCGGCTGCTCTCACCACCAACTTTGCATTATACCTTACTTGATTCCCAAATTGTCACTCTGCCAAGTACTGGTCTCCTATCTGAATGTTGTGTAAATAGTGTCCCGCCCTAAATTTTATACGCTGCTTGTCCCCATCCTTAAAATGTGAGGTCTGAAAGAAGAGGACTTCATCAGTAAGCGAGCACTTTGTCAGTAAGCGATGCAATGCATTTTGAACAAAATGCCCGTTTTGGATTCTCTCCATGCAACCATTAAACATTGCCTGTAGAAGCCAATACAGCTTGGAACACTTAGAATTTTGATATGTATGTGCCTTAGGCACTACTTAACATAGATATCCAATTATGTCGCTGATTCAAGTTGTCTACAGGTAAATGTCAGAAGAGGGCAGAGATGAGCTCGAAGACTCCAAGCCTTCAATACGCACTTTTCAGGCGCACCTCCACTTAAGTCACTCATGGCCAACCAATTTTTGGTCAATTTTTTAGAAAAATATACCGACGGAAAGAGGTCATTTCCACGGTTGTGAACCTCTAATCAGAATGGGAACAGTATTTGAAATGCTGAGGTACCAGATAAAAAGTCGCAAGGAGGTTCCAAATGTAAGTTGCCTATTTTGGAAACTGCTTTTGATCCTTCTTCCTCTCGTCCGCCAACATTCACTATGGGTCGCCCTCGCCTCTACAATACACAGGAGGAAAAGCTCCAAGCTCGTCGCGTCCAATCTAAAAACTACTATGAGCGGTATGTCCCTTGACCTTTTCCTTTCGTGATTTGTCTCTCACCGTCATTAGATCAACAATCAGTAACCACACTCAGATATGCCACCGGATGTGTTGTAAATACAAAAGGAAGGCTAGAAGAGAAACAGAAGTCAAGGAGCAAGAAAGTACTGGGTCCAACGGGGTCAGGTACAAGGACCAGGAAAGTACTGGGTCCGACAACGTCATGTACGATGAAATCTCCAGATTCTGCATGATCGATCTGAACTTAGAAAGCAGACTCAACAATCCCATCAAGACCCTTAACCAAGCCAAGATCGCATTTGATGAAAAGACTCAGGGTGACAAGTACAAGTACATAGACGACATCGTGAAGGAATGCATCGCGAGTCCCGGTTCAGCGTTGGAGTTCTGCAAGGTGACAGCAAGCTTGTGGGTCGATCTGGTGGATTACATTCAGTCATGTCTTGGGAAAGTTTTACAAGAGTATGGTTGTGGAAGTGAGTATAACAACACTGATCGGGTGGGGGCGGACTTCCGGCATGTCATGTTTTTGTTGGAGGAAATCAAGGAGTTTTTGATGACAAGGGAGGGCGAGCTGGCTGACTGGCACGCGAGTGGTTGTTTAGGCTATCAAATTTGTTGGGAAGGAGAGAAATTGGAAGCGGTCTCGACATGACGCTTATTCACTCCCTGCGGCAAAGTCTTGTAATCTGTTCACGCAATAATCCACACTTTTTGTCATTTGTGGCAACTGTACAGTCCTTTCCATTAAAGTTATTCCTCACGCGGTATCACTACACAAACTTCAACTACCTTCTACACCTTTATCCAATGGGCAAACACAGGATTGGCCCCAAAAAAATACAGCCCGTCACTTTCAAGGACGATACAGCGTACAAGCGAAGGCAAAAGGCCTTGGCGTGGGTGATTGATTTCCCTACACTGCCATGTGGGCGGACACTGATCGTTGATTGTATTAGAAACCCGAGCCTGCCGACGAAATTGCAAGGCACTTGAAGAAAACTCAGGATGACGTCCTGAAAGCGCTTCTTCCCAGCTATTTCTTAGCGCGTGCTGCAGGACAGAGCAACAAAAATTCTTTGAAAGGGCCAATCTCGTATGGTGCCTCAGGTTTCCGGAGCCTGAGGAGGAGATAAAAGTGAATAAGGATTACATGGACACTGATTACGGGGCTTACATTTTGAAGTTGCGGCAAAAGGTTAGTCCTTGGTTTGTATGTGACGGCTTCTGATATTTCTGTCGTAGCTTGTCCGTAGCAAAGTCAGCTGGATGTTGTTCCTCTTCCCAGAGCAGGCTGATGCTGAGTCGCCTCCGAAACATAGTTGGAATGCTGAGTTAAATTCTGCAATCCAAAAAATTATGAACGGCCTTCCGACCCCGATGATCGGCCTTGAAGAACTTGAGAAAGCAATAGTGGGACCGAGCTTGGGAGAGACCACACAGGAGGATACCTCGAGCAAGGGAGACTTCGACTTCAATTTCCTGTAGTTAGCTTGGTCGAGTAGTTGCACATTCTTCAGTTGTCCTGCTGTATGTACATACCACTGCTGTTGATGTTATTGATGTTGGCGTGTGAGCACATGTGACGACTTGGTGACAACCCTTGTTTTCCCATCAACATGGCCAAGGGCTGTTACAAGGGAAAGAGCAAGTTCGTTGTTGTTCGTGACGACAAGCACGACAACAAGCTTCACATTGGTCACTCCCGCACTGTCCAAATCTCTGATAACGGCTTTCGAATCCTCCAAACACCTCGCTCCCCTGTGAAAGTCTCCTCTGCTCAGAGTCGGCCCCTCATAGAACAGGAATTTGACGACTGGAACCCTTGCATCGAGTATGAAGATGCCGGGGAGGAGTCACCCCTGATAAATGTCGAAGAAAACGTTCAAGGCACCATGGCTGCAAAAGTTGCAGCAAAACGGCAATACTTTCCATTCCTCCACTGATTCCTACCGGATTCCGGCCGGAATCCAGGAATTCTGCGGAATTCTGCGGAATTCCGTGGATTCCGGCCGGAATTGACAGGAATCCGACTGGAATAGACAGAAATTTCAGTACAAATCTATACTTCTCGATTCCCCCTACAATTCCACTTTAGCTAGATGTCATATGACTTAATCTGCACTTATCAAGACCTCCTGAATTACTTGTGTAATGCAGTCAGTCAATCTATTATTCTATTCTATGCTGATAACTTAAACTTAGAAATTGCTTATGATATTCAAATTTGAACATAACTAATTCAGGTGTATTCACTAGTACTACATGAGATTATTCTACTACAAAATTATCTTACTACGTAGAGTGTTAAAGGGAGGGGGGAGGGATGGAGGGGAGGGGGAGAGGGGTGAAGGAGAGAGGGGTGATGGGAGAGGGAGTGATGGGGAGAGGTGGTGGGGAGTGATGGAGGAGGGAGGGAGTGATGGAGGAGGGAGGGAGTGATGGAGGAGGGAGGGAGTGATGGAGGAGGGAGGGAGTGATGGAGGGGAGGGAGTGAAAGAGGGGGGGGGAATGGAGAGAGAGCGGGCATGGAGGGAGGGAAGAGGGACAGAGGGAGGGAAGAAGGATGGAGGGAGGGAAGGAGGGAGGGAGGGAAGAGAGGGAGGGTGGATGGAGTGGTGGGGACTGATGGAGGGGGGAGAGTGTGGTGGGGAGTACTGGGCCTCGTCGCTGTTCGTCGGCCTGTGCTTTACGTCATTCCTGTCGTGTCTTCGTTGACGTGCTCGCCGTCGTCCGCTGACGTTGTCTTCGTCGGCCATTGACGTGGGCGTTGTCTGCTGACGTCGTCGTCGTCCGCTTATGTGGTCGTTTTCCGCTGACGTGGGCGTCGTCGTCCGCTGACGTCGCCGTCGTTGTCCGTTGACGTGGGCGTCGTCTGTTGATGTGGTGGCGGTCCGTTGATGTGGTGGTGCGTGGGTCGTCTGTTCGCGTGGCCCTCCGTTGACGTGGTGGGGCGCTGACGTGCTGTCCGTCCCTCGTTGTGGGCGTGGTCGTCGTTGCGTTGCGTTGTCGTTGTTGCGTCGCGTTGTCGTTGTCGCGTTGCGTCGCCGTCGTGTCGCGTTGCCGGTCATGTCGCGTTCTTGTTGTCGTGTCGCGTGGTCGCGTCGTTGTTGTGTCGCATCGTTGTTGGGTTGTGGTTGGGTCGCGTTTTGGTGAGTGTTAGCACCCATGGCTGTAGGACTATGCCTTATATACTGGACTGGTCCACCCATGCCTATTGCATAGGGGATGGAAATATCCAGGCTCTTTGGGATGTGGACTGGTGCAGGCCACCCTACATGATATATTGCCTCTCTGTATTTGTTTCTGTATTTGTTTTCCAGCTGATTTGTCAATATTAACAAACAACAAATACAATTTTGGCTTCAATGAGAGTATTTTGTCCCTTGGCCATGTTCCTCTGCAAAAGAAGGCCAGAATATATATATATATAGATCTGCAGATATTTTTATGCATCCTAGAATAGTTTCCCCCGCTTCTCCGTGCCCAGAATAGATGGATGTCGTTTGGTATGTAGGGGCCTCTGATAAATACATGTCAACAAACATCTCCGTTGGCTTCAAATGAAAGCATTTCATCCCTTGCGCATGTTCCTCTGCAAAGGAAGGCCAGAATATATATATATATATATCTCCAGATATTTTTACGCATCCTAGAATAGTTTCCCCTGCTTCTCTGTGCCCAGAATGGCTGGATGCGCCAAACCGCATCTGGATGTCATTGGGCGTGTTGGGGCCTCTGGTAAATACATGTAAACAAAGAAGAAAGGCTACTCCTCGTCCTCCTCGACCAGGGCCTCCAGCAGTGGATCAACACATGATCCGGGGCCTTCATTGCTCTCCTCTTTGCTAGCTAATGGCACCAGTGGGTTCTCCCATAATCGGGTGAAGCGCTCGTGGAGGGAACGCTGAATGTGAGCCTGACGGCTCGCGTATGCCCTCACCCCTTCACGGGTTGGTTCATCCAGCCCTGGCCATCCCTCTTGGCGCTGATTCCACCAGTCCACCTTCCACTCCAATGTCTTCCGAACCCTCCGCATCTCCTCCTTCAGTAATTGCACCTCTTCTGTCCACCTTAAATGTCGTGCCCTCGCTTTTGCCCATTCGATTCGAACCGCTGCGAACGAAGGGCCATTAGTCAACTATATTCATACAAAACCAGTCGGCCACTTACCCTCATGTAGTACCGCATCAGTGCCGTCGCCAATTGCATCAGGAGTGGTCCAAATCCACGACACCGCTTTCTTCCCTTGTCCCAAACCCAATTTGTCCGCCGTGCGCTGTTTCTTTGAATGTTCTCGTCCATTGGGTCTGATTGGATCGGCCGGATCGTCAATGCTGATCTCCATCCCATCCGGCGTGGTGAGGTCGCCGTTTGTTAATTTACGCAGACTCCTCTCCCAATCTCCGGGACCCAAAAGCGCCAGCAGGGCCTTCCGTGCAGATCTGTATTTTACGGCCAATGCTTTGGTTTTGTCTTCAAGACGGTCAAGAGTCTCCTTGGCTCGCGTGTTTGGGTTCTAGCCTCGGAGATTTCGATTTCGAAAGCCTATGAAGGACAAGCGACCGCGTTGGACATTGCGTATCTTCTCTAAGATGTCGTAGCATTGCGCTTCCCGCAATTTGGTCTCGATGTCAACCAAAATCTTGTTGCAGTTGTGGGTTCGCTGAGTGGATGGAAGAGCCGAAGGAAGCCAAAGCTGTTGATGCTCTGGTTCCACCATGTCGCGCTTGGCGTCGGGCATCTCTCGTTGGGAAGCTTCGTGTTCGCCAGCTAAAACGGTGAGTGGTAGCTACCACTTTTATGATAAAATACAGGCAAGTGCCTGCACACCGACATCCACACTGCCTAATGAATTTATGAAATGAGAAGAGTAGGCAAAACTTATGAAATGTATTTCATTTCTTTACCAGTGCTTCTCATGACTATTTCATAACTGTCCTGAGACATATTTCAATACTACTTCATTGCAATTTCATTACTGCCTGGCCTTCCATTTCATTGTCTACCCAGCATTGTTTCATTGCTATTTCATTCTTGCCTGACTTTTAATTTCATTGCCTACCCAGCCTTATTTCATTGCCTTTTCATATCCTTGCCTGGGCTACTTCATATTCATTTCATATCCCTGCCTGGACAATTTCATATCCCTGCCTGGGCAGTCTCATATCCCTGCCTGGGCAATTTCATATCCTTGCCTGGGCAGTCTCATATCCCTGCCTGGGCAATTTCATATCCTTGCCTGAGCAATCTCATATCCCTGCCTGGGCTACTTCATATTCATTTCATTTCTTGCCTGAGGCAATTTCATATCCCTGCCTGGGTGATTTCATATCCCTGCCTGGGCAATTTCATATCCTTGCCTGAGCAATCTCATATCCCTGCCTGGGCTACTTCATATTCATTTCATTTCTTGCCTGAGGCAATTTCATATCCCTGCCTGGGTGATTTCATATCCCTGCCTGGGCAATTTCATATCCTTGCCTGGGCAATCTCATATCCCTGCCTGGGCTACTTCATATTAATTTCATTTCTTGCCTTAGGCAATTTCATATCCCTGCCTGGGTGATTTCATATCCCTGCCTGGGCAATTTCATATCCTTGCCTGGGCAATCTCATATCCCTGCCTGGGCTACTTCATATTCATTTCATTTCTTGCCTTAGGCAATTTCATATCCCTTCCTGCATGATTTCATATCCCTGCCTAGGTAATTTCATATCCTTGCCTGGGCAATCTCATATCCCTGCCTGGGCTACTTCATATTCATTTCATTTCTTGCCTTAGGCAATTTCATATCCCTTCCTGCATAATTTCATATCCCTGCCTGGGCAATTTCATATCTATTTCATTCCCTACCTTGGGCTATTTCATATCCTTGCCTTTGCAATCTCATATCCCTGCCTGGGCTATTTCATACCTACCCTACTGCATTTATCATTGCCCCCTCAGAATGTCAGGCACTGCCTTCAGGGTCCATTTCAGGGTCCATCCCAAAGAGGAAACATCACCTGGTTTGACCAAAAGTGAAGAAAACCAAGAGGAGAATGTTTTTACCTATCAGGGTCCATATAATGGGATGTTGGGATGTTGGTCACATGACCAATTACCAAAAATGGTCAAAAATGAAAGTTGTAGCCCTACACTATAGCTTCCCGAATCTGTTTGAATTATGTTCTGAAGTGCTCCCATTGTGAAGATATGAGGTAAAAGATTTTCAAAGAGTGTTGCTTCTTTTTTGTG